AAAGAAGTCTGATGAGGAAATGTGGTGATTTCCGAAATAGCTATCATTTTCTACCATTTTTTCAAATTATTGTTGCTTTTCCACAATAAGTTTTCACTAAAAACGGCCTCAAGCTCATAAAAATTGTTGAATATAATTTATTAATTAGTTTTAAAATTTTAACCTTTATTTGAGAGAAGAGCGCACGCAGCACGAAAGTTTCTTCGGTTAATTTATTCCATATCTTCTGTAACTTTAATCTTCGTGATTAGGACGGCCATTCATTCGACCAACCCTATACAGTTTTTCTTTTTTTTTTTTCGTTTTTTTATAGTCTGGGAAAAATAAACCTGAAATAAACCTGCGTGCCCCATGCACTTATTCCCTAAAGTTTACACTGCTGGCAAGTTCGAATAAATTAAAATTTGAAAACTAATTAATAAGATTGAGTTAAAATTTGTGGAAAATTAACAATAAATACTTTCTTCGCAAAATCTATAAAGAACCCTTCTATTAAAAAAAAATGTATAACAGTTATTAATCGTTATTCTGAAATCAGCTATATTCCTAGTTGAAAACTAGACCCGTTGTTTTAAAATTGATTTGCTCCGCCGACAAATCTAAAACCACTGCTTAGACGTAATGTTAATTCAATGAATACGATTTATTTTTGTTATCTTCATGTTTCAATAAAAAGTAATAAAATACCAAAAATTCCACTGGGCGTCCCACTCTGATAAACAAAATTAATGGTCACTTTAGGTATAACGCGATTCAGCCACCCATGACATGTTGTTGATATAAGTCAGCTTATCATCTACGAACGAATATAAGGACACTTCCACGCAAGTTACTATTAACCGTATATAAAGTCAAAGAAATTTTAATAAACATACCTTCTTATAGTGTTTAAAGGAATTTGTATATCCGTTGTTCTGATATATCCTGATGATGATTTTTCAGGACCGATTCGAATAAATGTGACGGCCTTTGGAGATAAGCATACATGATAGTTTCCAATAATTTTTCTTTCCTCTGCCAAGCTCTTCTTTTGCACGACGACTTGCCAAACATGGTCTACAAATATTAAATGTAACAAGTAATTTTTAGGCAAAAAATACAACCGACTTCAATGCTCATATACAAATTTAAGAGTATTCGTTAATTTCTTCATGATCCAATCATCAGAACTAAACCAAATTAGTATGGGACCATATTTAAGGTACTACCTTCTCAAAAAAGAATTATCGAAAACGGTTCACGTGGTTTAAAGTTATCCGGTAACATACATAAAAAATTTTTTTAAATATTCCGATGAATGTTAACCTTCTTCCTTTTTTGAAATCGGTTAAGAATGTATTTCTATTACTTTTGTTCACATATATACGTACTCAGAACCGATTATCCATAAGGCAGTATAGGCAACTGCCTAGAGGCCCGCAAGGGATAGGGGCCCCGCGCAGAGAAAAAAGATTTCAAAATGTTTCAACGAGTGAAAATTTTATTTGAAGATTTGCTTTGTCAGGCCCAGGTGCTGAAGAGCTATTTAAGCAGAAATTGTTGATCAACTTCAAAAGTTAACTTTCAGGGCGTATACTTACACTGTATTAAAATTGTGCTTAAGTGACCGATATTGGCTATTGCTGTTTAAATATAATATAAACAACAATCAGCTGTTCAGCACACACAAACAAATGCAACAACAATTCCACAGAACAAGCAGTAGTAGTGGAACTTGTTTGGCATATTTAAATAAAGGTGTTGATTTGGTCGGCAAAAATCCCCCGGCTGAACCCTCCACGAGGGTGCCGATTGGTAATGGCCACTACAATTTAGGTTCTGTACGATGTCAGAATGGTGTCCAGCTAAGATCAGAAATCAGTGCTATGTGCTTAAGCTCTTCAATAGCTAAGTTATATGGAAATGGTTTTTGATCGTGGCCTATGGAGGTAATGGAGGAGCAAACCTCTTTAAAAAAGCTCTGGGTTGGAACAAGGTGTTAGACGACCCGTGCTGATGTTCAGCCTGGCTGGGGACCCAGATTAACAAATAGCCCAGTCTCGAACGGAGTGCTCCGGGTACCTGGCGACCTCCGGTTCTATCAAGCCTTACCTGCGCACACGGACCTCTGTGCGGGCGGACCTCCATTGTCCGACACTCGTGGGACCAAAATTATGAACACAATTCAATTAAAAAAAAAAAATACGCAAAGACGGACGGCCCTCCAAAAAAACCGACAGTTAATGCTACAGCCTCGAGCAGGGCATTTATCGGACCGCCAGTGACAGGAGTTAGAGGGGGCTTAAGCGGTAGGGCTGGTCCTGGTACGAGTACCATAGGAGGCAGAGGGGGGAGTGGAGGCTTGGGAAAACTGGTCTCCAACCGATTCATGGCTGGAGCTGCAGCGTCAGCTCCGCCTAGGGAAGACAGACCCCAAAGCACACAAACCTTAACCCAAGGGCGGGTGCGGCACCTGCTTCAAAAATAACCCGGCAGGATGCTGCCTATATTCCAAGCAGCTCGAGGAAAGCTGCAAACACAGGCCTGGGGGGTCGGCTAAACATGTCCGCCCCTCGAAGCAGGCATATTATGATAAAAAGGCGGCCATGAGGGTCGTGAACAGGATCGGGGACCTGCCGACAGAGCAGCTCACGGAGGAGCAGGTTAGGTCACTGGAGTGGGCGAGGGGAGTAGTATCCAGCTTGGGAAAACCGGCAGGCACTGCTCCAAAAAGGCAGCGATCTGCTGAACAGGCAGGGGTGGGGTCGCCAAAAGACCGAAAACAGGCGGCCATAAATTCCCCACCTTCAGGTACGTAGTGAAGAGAGGCGGTGAGGTACTGGCCATCATCGACAGAGGGGAGGAGGAAGGGAATATCCCCAAAGAGAAGTTGAGGTTGGTGGAGGAAGCGATCGCCGAAATCTACCTCCAAGTCCTAGAGGAAAATCCTGGACCTCCTCCTCTCTGCCATGATTCCGGATGGTATCAGGGTAGAGCTAAACTCATCGCCTGCGAGGACCATAGGTCAGCCCAGCTCTATAGGTTGGCCGTTAGTAAGGTAGGTGAAGTTTGGCCGGGAGCCAAGCTCGAGGCCGTCGGCAAGGAAGATATTCCTAGCAGACCGAGGGCTCGAGTTTGGATTCCGGCTAAACCCGCCGAGCCTGAAAGAATTGAGCGGATCTTCAGATCCTGTAATAAGGACCTGCCAACTCACAATTGGAGGGTAGGGAAGATAGAGGAGCCAGTAGAGAATAGAAGGCAGGTGTTGCTGCTCCTCAACGCCGATCCGGAGCCCCACTGGCGCAAAAGGATTGGGTGGTGATATTCGGGTTTAATGACGCAACCATTCGAATCTACCGCAGCGACGAGCCGAGCTTGGACCTTAGTGAGGAGAGCAACAAGTCCGGCCTGCGCAGCGGTGGTGAAGAAGAGTTGCCCAGCAGCCAATGCTCATCCGACTCGGAGAGGCTTTCCGGTTTGGGGCCATTATTTTAAAAAGAAGAAGACCTCCTCGCTGATGGCACCGAGGGAGAGGAGATCGAAGAGGCGGACGTGGATGTCACGATCCAGATCAACCTCCACCACTCTAAACTCGCGTCTGCGAACCTTGACGTCCGCCTGGCCAACTTAAACATCTTCCTGCTTCCACAGCTTAGTGACGGCGATCTGGTAGCGGCAAGCATTGAGCTGGAAAAGGCCAGCTTTTGGGTAGCCTCTGCGTACACGGCCCATGACAAGGACGTGCCACCAGATGGGTTTCGGTCCTTGGCCGAGGAAGCAGCCTTCAAGAATAAACCACTGGTTGTCTCCTGCGACGCTAATGCCCACAACTTGATGTGGGGGAGTACGGACACGAATGCTAGAGGTGAGTCGTTACTAGACTTCATTCTAGGGAACAAACTTAGTGTCTTGAATTTAGGCTCAGAGCCGACCTTTATAACAAAGAGTAGAGAGGAAGTTTTGGACATAACCCTGGCTTCAGACATGTTTGCCCATAAAATCAAGAGATGGAGAGTACTGAATGAAAAATTTTATTCTGACCATCGTTATCTTGAGATCGAGATAAATCTTAAGACCCCCCAAGGGAGTTCAAAAATGTTAGAAATACGCTTTATAAGAGCCCCAAATTGGTTCTCTGAAGAATAGTCACCGAGGTTCCCGTGTTCTGCAGTGGTACCACAATGGACCTTCAAAAGGTCTAAGTGAGTTGGTAAATTGAACCGACTGCCACATCAACCTAAACTAACCTAACCTAAATAAAGGTGTTCTGAAAACCAACGAGAGACAACATTTAGGCCTCAGGAAACTACTCCTTTTCCACCAGTATTTTAGAAAAACGCAAATGTATTTCAGAAAAGGCCAAATAAATTTCAGAAAAGCACAAATGCATTTCAAGAAATTCAAATGAATGTATTTCAGGAGAGGACAAATGTATTTCAGAAAAGCTCATATGTAATTCTGAAAACCCCAAATGTATTTCAGAAAAAGCCAAATGAAATTCAGCACAACATATTTCAGAAAAGAGCAAATGTATTTCAGAAAAACACAAAAGTGTGTTCAGAAAACCCCTACTGTATTTCAGAAAAGCACAAATTTATTTCAGAATATTTTTAACTAGGAAAACTTTTGCAATGGCAAACTGTTGAAAAAGGTGTAGACGTGAACTAGTTGTCCAACTAATTATCACCTACTGTTTAGACCAGAGGCGGGCATTTTTTGATTTTCCAAACACATGTAATTGGGCTTCAAAATGCTGCTGGCTGCGGCGTCGACACATGTATACTATCATCGTCTTCGTGCGTCTTACGATAATTGACGATTGAATGATGCTTCGCTGGTATTTCGGCAATCAAATCAAATCAGTTGCCAACCACAAAAGCAACAGACGGAAGAAAGCGATATCACAGTGTGACGTACATTCCTAAGTTCTACCAACAACTTGACCACGAAATAAACACCAACAACCGTAATATAAGATTAGCATACCGAACCAACTACACACTATCTTCGATATTCACACGAACAAAAACACCGATCAAGCCCCACCAACAAAACAACGTGGTATATGAAATCACATGTAAAGGCAGCAAAAACGAAAACTGCAACAAAGTTTACATAGGGACAACTAACCGAGCATTAGGCGTTCGCCTTTCAGAGCACGAACCCGACATAAACAAAAAGAAGAACAGCACAGCATTAGCACAACACGTAATTACCAGTGTTACGGCTGATCTAACTAACGTTAAAATATTGGACAAGGAGAAGAGGGAACGGGCAAGATACACAATAGAGAGTTTACGTATACTGCAAAAAAGGGAAAAAACAATCAACAAGAAGGAGGACACGGACGATATCGCGGCTGCTTACATGTTATGTTTGTAGCGAATATTTAGTTTGACGAAATTACCACAGATGGATGGTAGCAATACTTTATGTTTTTCAATGTATTTAACGTTTTTGTGTTTTTTATATGTTTTATATGTTTTTTAATGTATTTAACGTTCTAATGCTTTTATATGTATGTGCATTTATGTGAGACCAATTTAACCTAAGTGTACATGTAAGTCATGCGATAAAAAATAAGTTTAAAAACCTGTGATTGTGTTTGTTTTCAAAACAGAACATATTTTTGTTTACCAATCTTTAATTTTTATTTGTACAAAAAACTCATAATTTCTATTTTAAATAATCTTGTTTTCCTCTGTTTTTTTGTTGATATTTATAATAAAGAATCGCCCCTGATGATACTAAGGTAGTTAGCGAAACGTTGGGCAAAGAAGTGGAGACAAAGTGTTTTTCTTGCACATGGAGAAGTAGATCGACCAGCCTACAACAATACCAAAATATAACAAAAATTCGGTCAAAAGCTTACAAAGATAGTAGAAAATAATATTTCTCAGTCCAACAGAATTTGTTTTGATAACTTTTGATTGTGAAATTTTAGCAAAAGTCATTATAAACAATTAATGACATTGAAAACGAAAAATGTGGAGCGCATGCAGTACAAAGCATTCGATTTCATTGACAATAGTCAAACTACATAACATTCTACAGCGAAAGTACAAATTTGAGATCGA